GCTTATCCCTTCCTCGATCGACTCCCAACCCCTCCCCCATTGGAACTTTCTTTGTTGAGGAGTTTTCAAATCGGGTTATCCGACTCTGAGACCAGAATCGTTTTGTGAGCCCGGCTCGTGTCGACTGATGGACCGGGTTCCATCGAACCCTTCTAGAAACTTCCAACCTAGACTCGGTGGGCCCAGAGGCCGTGGCCTACGATGGGCTTTTAGCTTAGCAGGCCGGGTCACTGCCACCAGTTCACGCCTAGGGTAGACGCGCTGCCCGTAGGCTTAGCCCTAGGTCTGCACCGTCTCTCCGCCTTCCGAGGCATTAATGACGGCGTCTTTTCACTTCTTGTCACCCTTCTCTTCTCCAATGAGAGGGTGACACGTGGCCGTCCGTTGGGGTTCCCCCCCTTTTTAAATAGCCATCTTCTCCTCTCTTTTCCTTACTTTCTCTAACTCTCCATACTCAGCGCCAAGCACCTCCGGTCTTTTTGCAATTTCCTCCGTCCACTCTCAGGTTGGTAAATGTCTTCCTCCTCCCCTTCTTCTTCTTCTCGTCGTCGCTCGGCCGAGAACCCGGCGGCGACTTCCCTGTCATATTCTTCTTCTCCTTCTTCTTCTTCTTCTTCTTCTCCCCGTCGTATGGAAATTCCGGACGGTCTTCCATCGACGTCTTCCTTTCAGCCGACCCCTTCTTCTTCGGGGGCGGTTACTCCCATGAGCCCCGCTCCTCTAACGACGGTGGCGGCTCTGCCAGACGGCCGCGAGGCAAATTTGATTCCATCGTCCGGCCGGCCGGGCCACCGTCCGTTGTTACTGCGGCGGACCTGGACATGGCCCGCTTTCTACTTGGGCCTTCGGCCTTAGTCTTTGCCCCGGAGGGCCGGCCCATTCATGACCCACCGGAGGGTTGTGTTGGTATTCACTTGCACTCGGTTGCCTTCGGCTTCCGAGTTCCTCCATGTCCGTTTCTCTCCCTCTTCTTTCGCCATTATAATTTGGTTCCGGGTCAACTGGTGCCCAATTCTCATCGCCTCCTTACCTGCTTCATAAACCTCTGCCACTGGTGGATGTGCGAGCCGGATCTGGACCTGTTTCGGTATCTCTTTACCGTGAACAAGGTTGGCTCGCACTCGCCGGGCTTTGTTCAGGTTGCCGCCCGCACGGGGCGACAGCTTTTCGAGGGGTTGTCCGATTCCATCAAGGACTGGAAGCCCCTTTACTTCTTCGTTCGTCCCGCACTTTCTTCCTTCACCTTTCCGACCTTGTGGCCGGCTGCTTTATTCAAGCCCTGCTCTCGGCGCGCCGTCTTCTCTCAAGATGCGATCCAGGGTGGCGAGTTCTTGAGGGGCTTTGGGCCGTACTCTGTTAAGTACTGGTCTCGGGTCCGAGCTATGCCCAAACGAGGCTTGCTGCCAGACGGCGCGGCCACCTTAGGTAGTTCTCCCATGCCTTTCCTTTCTCTTTCTTTTCTTGTCCGACTGTTAACACTAATCTTTTTTCTTTACAGGTCCTTACGACTCCGACTCCACCAGTTCCGACGAGGCTGCCGCTCCGACTCCAGAGATGGTTGACAGAGCTGAAAAGATGAGGCGCCGACTGACTCAACGCGCCACCGGCGCTGCTGCTGCCTCTTCGTCCCAGCCGTCACCGGCTCCAAAGTCGACTCCTCCACCACCACGTACGGTGGTCGACTTGACACCGTCGCCCGTCGTCTCGCGTACTCGACTGCCGCCTCCTCCTCCATCTGAGAATCCAAGCAACAAGCGACCGGTCGAGCAATCGGATGCGCCGGCTCCGAAGAGGATCCGGTTGAGTGTTGAGGTGGACGAGGATGCCCAGATCTGGCAAGGCAGTTCCTTCGTCCGCTCCTGGGCAGAACACGTTCTTCTTCCTAAGGACGTGGAGACGACTGGCGCCCTGCCGGACGAGTACATCATCGAGGCCTCGCTTCGCCAATCATACCGCGTAAGTGTTTCTGTCCTGCTATTTTTTTTTTCCGCTCTTTTCTTCTTTCATCTGAAGTCCTATTGCCTTGCAGAACCTCACTTTCCAGATGGAAATGCGTAGGCGGCTGAGGGAGTACAAGACCGGGCTGCAGTCTCTTGCCACCCGAGTGCGCCAAACTGAGGAGGCTTTTCTGGCAGAGCAGGCTAAGCATGCCAAGTCGGTGGAGGTGCACACCTCCGAGATGCTAAGGGTCACTCATCAGTGAGAGGAGGAGCGGGACAAGGTCGCGACTATTGCTGCGACTTCGGTGGAGGATTACAAGAAGTCGGCGGCTTTCGAGGCGGACGTGAAGGCGGCGGTGGCAGCTCGACAGAAGGAGATCGCCCAGGAGTGGCTGGCAACGCCGGAGGGGGATGACTACCTCCTGGATCTGGGCGAGCGTGACTATGCCTTGGTTTCCGTGAAGCTCAGTCGGAAACTTACGCTGCTCTGCTGACCCGCGATTCTGCCTTCACTCCCGAGAGCTGGGGCCTCAAGCCGCTGCTAGACCTCCTTCCGGCAACTGACCAGCCCGTATCGACTGTGGATCCGGCCGCTCTCCCCGTGACAGAGTCCGCAGATCCGGCAGCTCTCCCTGTGGCGGAGCCTTCAGAGCTTGCAGAGCCGCCTCCTCAGGCGGAAGACTCCTCACTCGTCCCTCCAGCTGGACCAACGGCAGGAGAGCAAGTTGAGAGGGTCGACGTCGACACTCCCCCCCCCAGTAGCTTAGGGCTAGTCTTTTTAGATAGCCTTTTTTGTACGGGCTGGCCTCCCTCTCGGGCCTTTATTATTAATAAAAATTTCTTGCTTTTTTGCTTCTTTTGGACGGTCTTGGCCTCGATCACCCTTTAACCTCTTCGTGTTTCTCAAATCGAATTCCTCAATTGGGAGCCGGCCGTTCGGGAAGCGACTGCTTGTATCTCGTGTACTGGCCGTTCGGGAACCGGCCGGTAAGGGTGTGCGACGGGCTTGTCGTATGGTCGTCTGACATCGGGTCGCCGGGTCACTTCCGGGCGCCTTTCCTTCGTTTCGGCTCGCGTCCTCTTCCCACCGGCGGATCCTCCGACCTCGCGTTGTCGTTTGTGCTTCATGGCTTGCTCCGTGTTGGCCCTTTTGTTGGCCATGTGTATGGCTTCCGCGTAGGTGGCCGGGCGGTTATCCCGCAGGTCCCGGTATAGCTGACCGGACCGTAAAGACTCGATGAAGAAGGTGAGCGCAGTCTGGTCCTCGACTTCCTCAATGGATTGGATTTCTTTCTGCCAGCGAGCTAGATAGGTTTTCAGAGATTCGCCTTCTTCTTGGTGAACGTCTCCCAGGTGAGTCAGGTCCTTCTGAGGCTTGATGTTGGCCGCGTAGTGGCTCATGAAGCGGTCGGCTAATTCTTCGAAACTATGAATCGACTTGGGAGGCAGCGCCACTAACCACCTTTGTGCTGAACCTTTCAGCGTGGGCAAGAAGGCGCGACACATCACCGGGTCTCGCACTCCCAAGACCTGCATTTTGGCTTGATAGCTAAGCAGAAGTTCGCGTGGGTCTCCGGATCCGTCGAAGGTGGCTTGTTCCGGAAATTTAAAGTCGCCGGGTACTTTGTAGGACATGATCTCGGAAGAGAATGGCAAAGCCGTGAGCAACGTCTGCCCAGGGGATTTGGTCTTTCCCCCCATTTGTTCTTTCAGATCTCGTACCTCTCGGGCCAATTGGGCCACGTCGCCTTCATTATGAGTGCGGTTTCCTGTGGATTCCGTACTTTCGCCGACCTCAGATTGGGCCGGCCGGTCATCGTTGCGCGTTACTCGCTCGGTCCGTCGTGTCCGAGTCTTAGTTTTCCTGGTGCAAGCTCTTTCTCGACGGGTTTCCCGATCTCGGGGCCCTGCTGGTGCGCGGCTGGGATCCCTTTCTCCTAGTCGTTCTTGTGCAGGCTGCCGCCCAGCATTCGGACCCAGCCTTGAGTGGACTGATCGTACTGGCTGGCTCTCCGCCCGTCGATTTTCCTGTCCGTCTTCCGGCCTCTGGGACAGTTGTTGATGGCGAGGCATCGGCTGAGAAACCGATTGTTCCCTCACTCCTCGACTCGCGTCGCCGAAGGCTCGTCCGATCGCGTGGAGTTGTTCCGGGGTTAGGGGTATCATAGGCGGCTGCCGGTTCACCGGTGCCGTTTCATTTCCCTGGCTTTGAGCATTTCGTTGGTTCAACTTGTCTCTTAGATCTGCCTCTATCCCGTTGTTCCGGTTGTTTGCTTGGTCTCGTCCTTCCGACATGTTTGTGATGCTTTTTCGTTCGACTTCGGGACTCGCCCAGCTCAGAGAGTCACGTAGCTCTTTGTGTCGATCTCCACAGACGGCGCCAGTGTTGGTTTTTGGGTTTTCCGACCCAGGGAGGTCCAACACAACCTTAGTTGGTGGATTCACCTTTCACACAAGATTGTAAAAGAAATGAAAAATCCTTCTAATGGTATCGAGTGTGTCTCTCTTTTCTCCTGGGATCCACGCCTCTGGATTACAAGGGTGGAGGAGCCTTTATATAGCAGGCTCTCCTACCGACTTGAAGGCCATTAATGGCTGACTTCAAGGCTAATTACAATCACCGAGCCGTTGGGTGCCGTTACCGGATCGGTCAACGGCTCCTTGAATCCGTAACGGTCTAACCGAGTCCTGACTTGAATGCCTCCAACGGCTCCGATGCCGGGTCTTTTAAATGAGGCTTCTCAACGCTCGCTTAATGGCTCTGAGCCGTTTTTTCATGGGCTTGGGCCTGGGCCGACTCCTGGACTCGGCTCAAGCTTTCACTGGGCTTCTTTCACGGTTAACCCACGTTCCTTGTCTTGGATTTCCTTTTTGGACCGACCTTTCTTGGGCTGGGGTTCTCACCCCATCAATATGTTTATAAAAAATAGTAATGTAATAAAAATAGCATTATAGTAATTAATATATAATAACTATTACTATATATTCATATATGTCCATATTTTCTGTTAACCTTTTTTTTATTTTACCTTATTATTATACAGTTCTCATCTTCTCTTCTTGGTACGCAAAGAGAACGTATAAATATCTGTTAGCTATTCCGCCCATAGTTCCATAGCAGAAACATCGTCGGTTCGCTCTGCTCTGTAAATGGACCCCCGTCGAACTTCGCGGGCAAACCACCCTATCGTCCGCCGGGTGGGCTTTTTTGCTCCCGAGCCACCCGATTCGGACCTTGTCGAACATCTCGCATCACTGCCGCAGTCCCCCGGGAACACTTTATCTCCTGTGATGATTATTCCTCACCCGCTCCACGCCTCCGATGCCCCCTCCCGTTCCGTCGGCCTCCCGGTCCCCAATACGGCGTTGCGGCGGATTTCGAAGGACTATGACGAAGACGAGGAGCAGCCGGCTGTTGGGAGCTACGACGCCTCTGATACTGCGCGTGGAAGCTCGCCGACGTCTAGCGGAATCGGCCTCGTCGACGGTGAGTTCTCGATGGACTCGGCTAACTGGATTCGCCCCAACGGTTCACGGAAGTCAGTTTCGACTTTTCACGACGGCGGCTCTGAACATACTGCGGCCGCCAATAAAGTGGTCAACGCGAACAAGTCCCGTGGAGCGCTTGGTAAATTGTTTTCTTGGTCTAGGTTAATTGCGAAGTTCTCAATTACTTTGAAAACTGCCAGATAATTCTTTAATTTTTTTTATTTTTTTGAAAAGCTCTCAGTTACTTTAAATTCTTTAATTTTTTAAATTTGTTAGTCGCTAACTTGTATTAAAGTTGAAAATTTTATAATTTAATTAGGATAAATCACCATTTTAGTCCCTTAATTTTTTCTAAGTCAATGTAGTTCTTAATTTTTAATATCAACTAATTTTTAATTTTTAAATGTAAAATTTCAATTGAGGGACCAGATGATTTTCCCATTTAATTATTTGATTTAAATGTTTTTTGATAACTATGTGTAAATACTTTGTGATAATTATTATGCATAAAATGTTAAAACCATTAAGGAAAATTATCATAGAAGAAATTTAATTCAATAATTTTGTCCAGGAAAATATTAGTGTTGTTTCTTCCTGCCCTCAATTGTTTAGATTGTATTTGAGAGCCTAAATCCAATGTTAGAAAAAGTCTGTGCTTTACACTCAGTAGTCATTGGCAATTTCACATGGATATTTATTAATTGGAATTGTAATTATGGTGTAATATTTACTTTTGTTAGTTTGAACATTACATGAAGAGTATTTAGTTCACAGACAATGAGTAATAATACAAGTGCAATCAGTGTTCATCATAACTAGAATCAACATCGTTTAGGGTGTAATGAGATGGTGTGCAAGGGTTCAAAATATAGTTTGTACTTGTTTGGAGTTTTTTAACATTTCAACAGAGTACTTGTACTTGGTTCGAGTTTTTCACATTTGGAGAGATTGCTTTTGGACAAAAGGTATGTAATTAGTTAGTTCTATTCGCTGTATATTGCAGAGAGGGCTTGCCAAGAAGTAGCAGAGAAGCCAAAAGAAGTACAACGAATTTCAAAACCACTAAAAGAGAAAACTAGTAAAGCTGAAAGGCGAGCTCAGCAGGAGGCTCAAAGAGCTGCCAAAGCTGCTTCAAAAGGTTCAACTCTCCCCTTTCCAATAGTAGATTGTTGCTACATGAATACTGTGAGATAATATATGCTTTCTAGTTGGCTGTCAAAACTGTACTTTTATTTAGAGTCTTGGTTGTTCATTGTTGGCAAAAACTTTTTAGTACAACTATGCCATCTTTCGGTAAAGCAAGGCTCAATGGCTTCAAATGTCTCACTCCTTTGTAATTTTTTAGCTCCTTTACTTGTCGGATGGTAAGAGATAACCTCTCAAAGAAGTGAAGAACTTGCTTTATGCTAGGGAAACAGTTGCCAATCCTTTTCCACTGTGCTAGATGTTCTTAAACTAAAGAGTTAATTCCACCAGAGGTCCTTTGTCTTTGGTGGCAATTCCAAATTTAGTCCCACACTATTGTTTTTGCCATTTAACATCCCAGACTATTGTTTTTTGGACACTTTTAGTCCTTCTCATGACTTTTCCTATATTTAGTAAGGATATTTTTGTCTTTTCATATTTTTCTGGTTTCAGCCGGTTTAATTGGTTTAGGACTTTAGGTAACCTCTGATTTTTAGTAACCATATTTTTCAATCGATTTTTAGTAAAGTCCTAAACCAATTAAACCGGTTGAAACCGGAAAATATAACAAAAGAAAAATATGAAGAGACAAAAATGCCCTTACTAAAAATAGGAAAAGTCATGAAAAGGACTAAAAGTGTCCAAAAAACAATAGTCTGGGAAAACGATAGTCTGGGCTAAATTTGGAATTGCCACCAAAGGCAAGGGACCTCTGGTGGAATTAACTCTAAACTAAACTAAGAAGTACAGTCCAATCATGAGGGTTTCTTTACTTCTTGACTGTTGCTATTGGATACTGTATCAATGGGCAGTTCTGAAATTTTACCTGAGCATATCGTCTAATCATACACTAAAGTATCCTCTGAGTGTTTCTTATTTGTGGTTATTGATATTGATACCAGCTGCAGGAAGTAAACCTTCTGTGGCATCACCAGCTTCTGTATTTGAACAAAGTTCAAAAACTGTGAATCAACCGTCACAGAAGAAAGATAGCAACCTAATGTCATCCACATCAACTTTGGAGAAGAGAAGAGGTGACCGAACAGTGGAGAAAGATAGAAAAAATGATGTTCCTGCTCCACGTATGCAGTTTGATGATAAGGACCGGGTGGAAAAGGCCAAAAAGCGTGCATTAGTTAAGCAAACTGAATCTAGAAATAGAGTAGAAATGTTTCGACATTTGCCTCAGTATGAACATGGAAATCAACTTCCTGATCTTGAGTTAAAATTCTTCCAACATGATTCTATACATCGTGCTGTATACAGGGTATACTTCCTCCCCTTTATTTTAGCATGAGAAAATCATATCATTATTTTAATTTTATACTCTCTAATTTAACTGCAAGAACTTGTCAACTGGGAACTGAAATTAAGTTTTACTTTAATTGTAGTTAATAATTAATTAATAAAATAATGTATTATTCCTTTGTCATGTGTTAAGAGTCCCACGTCGATAAAATAAGAGAGAATATATGGGTTTATAAGACCATGGGTTAGACTAGCTAATTGATTGGATTCAATCTTTTAGTGTGGTTTGGCCCATTTGCATTATAGCCCAGTTGATTGACCCTGGCTCAATCTTAGATTATAACATTATGCTTTTTGAAGCAATGCCTAAGGTTTGTATATTTAACTGCTTGATCATGTGTCGTACCCAACTTAGCTTAATCTAACTACTCTGTTGAGGACATGAGGTCCCACTACTAAGTTCTTTGGCCATGGCTATTAGCTTTGCAATTGGATGTCAGCCAAAAATGATTTATTATTTCCTAGTAAGATCAAATAAGATTTGGCTTAGAATGTAATATGACTTTTTCTAATCAGGTGGGAATGCAACATTTGGCTGGAGATCTTGTTGGGAGTAATGCACGCTGTGTTGCCATGCTACAGGCATTTCGGGAAGCCATTGGAGACTACTCCACTCCACCAGGAAAAATACTCAGTAGAGATTTAACTGCAAAACTCAGTAGTTTTGTTTCATTTCTTAATGAATGCAGACCACTTTCAATCAGTATGGGGAATGCGATTCGGTTTATAAAGGCTCGTATAGCAAAATTACCCGTGGCTCTATCCGAATCAGAAGCAAAGGTATCTCTGTTTTCAGACATTGATGGTTTCATTAATGAAAAGATAGTAATAGCAGATAAGGTAATAGCAAGACATGCAGTTACAAAGATCAAGGGTGGTGATGTTATTCTAACATACAGTTCATCCTCTGTCATCGAGATGATTCTGTTACATGCTTATGAGATTGGAAGACAGTTTCATGTTATCATAGTAGACTCTCGTCCCAAGTTTGAAGGGCAATCACTACTTCGAAGATTGGTGAAGAAAGGCCTTAGCTGTACATACACACATATTAATGCTGTTTCGTACATTATGCATGAAGTCACAATGGTTTTCTTGGGAGCTGCATCTGTATTATCAAATGGCACGGTGTACGGGAAAGTGGGAAGTGCTTGCGTTTCTATGGTTGCTCATGCTTTTAGTGTTCCTGTTCTGTTCTGCTGTGAAGCTTATAAGTTTAATGAGCGAGTTCTGCTTGATTCCATCTGTTCCAATGAACTAGGTATTTACTTCCTTTTCTGTTGTCTTTCTATATGTTTTACTGACATGTTATTCACCTGTCAATTGTTGATCTCTGTAATTTTACGTTTTCCCCTTTGATTTAGTGAAGGGAATGTGAAAGGCAGTTAATGCATATGTTGAAACTTTTCAGGCAATCCGAATGCGATTTCCCAGGTTCCTAGAGGATTGGGTGCCAATTATTTGAAGGATTGGGACAATATAGAAAACCTTCAGCTTTTGAATTTAATGTAAGTTTTGTTCTCACTCATGAAGAAGGTTAAACTTTTCTGTCTACTGCTACTAAATGCATTTGCTTTTAAACGATTCTGACAGATACGATGCTACTCCTTCAGACTACGTATCAATGATCATAACAGATTATGGCATGGTAAGGGCTCTTTTTTTCCAATTTGATTAACAGCTACTTTGAGGCTTGCATTTCTGCTTCCATACCATTTTACTGATTTCTGAACTTGACTTTTTCCTATTTCTTGATAGTGATATTGCCAAAAAGAAATAGTTCTGTTGTGAGCATCATAGTTAAACTCTAAATTGGCACAAGATGTTAACATCCATATATATATATAATTGTCATATTTTCTTGATAATAACAGATACCAACCACGAGTGTACCTGTGATTGTGCGAGAATATGGGAGGGAGCATTTGCTGATATAGTGTTACGTTTTTGGCCTGACAATTCTTCTTTGCTCTCCAAGCACCATACAAGAATGTATACAACTTTGAGGCTGTTTGAGAGTTGAGGAGAATGAAGTTTAAAAGAAGACACAATTCCAATGTCTCCTTTACATATAGATTCATACTGGCAGATACAATATTGAATGCTGGACAGGTAAGTAATAATCACTGTTTATGGCAAGAGTTGAGTATTCTGGGATACAATAGCAGGATGAGTTACTTCTTACATTTTCCGTGATATTTATTTACAAAGTGGTTAAGGGTGATTCTTGCCCTTCGATTTTTTGGTTTGATTATTGATGATATTGAAGAAACAACAAGAAAACGACATACCAATGGGTTTAACTAGTACCTATTATTTCAATACGACAATACCTATAGATTTTAATGATTTACTTATAAAAAGTTGTTGGTAAATAAAATACTTATACATTTGATTTTCAGTAGGTAAATTTGATTTTTTTGTTGTGACTGAAAATTGTGTCTCACATTTGTTAGCTAGGGATGCTATTTCAATGTCATATGCGAGGCTGCAAGTGACACTCCTCCTTCCTTCATTGTTGAAGCTTTGTAGTGTGACATTTCTGATTAATTTTATAACTATTATTATTTCAAAATAATTTATTAAGCAATTGCCAAGCACCTTGTGTTCAGATGGCATGTAATGACCTCTTTCATGTGGTTTGAAAAGATACTATAATGTAATAGAGTTAGTAGCATTCAAAAAAAAAAAAATTAATTTATGCAATATAGAAGGGGAAATTACCATTTTGTTTCTCAATTGTCAATGTAGTCTTTAATTTTCAATTTTAACTAATTTGATCATCGAATTCTTTTAAACTTTGTCAATTAAACCTTGGAAGGATTTAATTGATGAAATTTTAAATAATTTGATTATCAAATTAGGACTACATTAACAGTTAGAAAATAATTAAGGGACCAAAATGATAATTTTCCTTCATAAAATTTTGAGTAAATGTTTTAACTGAAAATTTTATTATTAGTCATGCGGTAAATGCTTGCCACACTTATAATATTTTTTAAGTGAAACATCTATGTATCTATAGTTCAAATATTGAATGTTATGGTAAATGTCTCTCACTTTGATTCTGTATCTATAGTTTCTTTAGATGAAATGAATTTGTATGCCAACTTTAGTGCATCTAGTCTCATAATGTCACCCCCTTCCACCACCCACAAACCCCTCCCCCTCCCCTCCCCTCCCCTAGATTAATGCAATTGGTAATTGGTATACCATATTCTAAAACTTCAATTAACATTTAGGTTGGAACTTGAAAAATATGAATACCTAATTCAAACTCAATGAATTTTATAATGATAAATATTACACCGGTAACTATTTTGTTCAAATATTACAATGAACTTTTATGCTTTGTGTAAGGGTTTTGCTTCATATTATTTTATTTTATTTTTACATATGAGGGAGTTAGGGATCAAACTTGTGACATCCTAAGGGTTTAACTTTATGATGAAATGGAAAAGCTACAAATATTTTTCATCACTAATTTAGCCAAATATAAAAATTGTATAGTAAAAAAAAAAAAAAATTGAATGAGACCATAAAACGAGAAAAAGAAGAACTAAAAAAGTATTTGAGTTATAAATTGTTAAAGATATAATACTATGTGATTATGTAAAAAAAAATCCTCTTTTTTTCTTCGGGATACAGATTACTTACAAGTCTTTCCAATTTTTTCCAACTAAATGGGTTTATTTGATAATCAATTTAACATTCACCTATTATCCATTTTGAATGTATAATATAACATATCTTTGTCTCACTACAAAAAACTCAAATCTATTTTGACTCAACTCAAACCATTAGTAGACCTCACATATATTTGTATCACAAAATAGTCCTTTAAAATGTCATTTTATACTATTTTTTCCAACATAAATTTATGCTAACATAAATTATATTCTTGAATGTGTTTAACGTGTTTCATACCCATTAAGCTTTGTTTTACAATGCTGGCTTAATTTTCATAGGTTTGAACAGATATACTATAAATAACAAGGTTAACAGTACTCCAAAAAAAAAACACTTGACTTTTTTATTCATAAATTAACAGATTTTGATCTTTTCTTTCTTCATTTAAGTGGCGAATGATGAATGAAAAATATGGACATTTTGTTTCTGTCGTTACCATGAAGCATAGCAGACCTAGAAGAGAGCATAATAAAATTACAATGAAATTCATAATTGAGTGAAGAGAAAGTAGGCAAACACCTCTAAACTGAAATCGGGAGAAGCATTTGCACAGATAAATTAAAACATGGATTTATGATCATAAACCCTTGCAGGGCACATACAAACTTTGCCTTGGAAAACAGATGTAAGCCACTATCCTGTTAGATACTTGAAAAATGAAAAAAAGAAAAGAAAAAAAAGATTTTGACCCAAAATACACATCCTATAAGTTCAAAGAAACCACTTTTCATGGTTAGTTCTCTTTCTACCTGTCAAACCAGTATGCTAATGGCTCACCAATCTGCATAGTACCAAAGAAACCCCTTCCCTCAACATGATTCTGTTAATAAATATTGTAATATATGAATATGAATTCCAAATCAGTCTTGTCCTCTCACATTGATTGCTTGTCATTTATGTTTCTTGCCAGACCCTGTGCAGGGATTATCAGTTATCGAAGCAGCTGCTAGTTCCATCAACCTCTCATAATCAATCTCGGTTGATTTGTACATCAGTTTGAAGCCTCCTTCACTCCATGACTTCACACAAAGCATAGCTTGAGCAGTCTCGTGCGGTATAGCAAACCGCTGCCTATCAATCTCAACACCTTTGCTAGAGAACAGCTCTTCAGGCGCCACTGCAGTTGCCTGTACTGCTAAAAAATCCCGAGCCATCAACGACAACCGTGGATAGCATGTGCCATTTACCTTCCACCACTCCAGGACATCTGTAGGCATTGGAGCAAGAGGCTCTGATAAATACCGGGTGAGCTCGTCTGTTGCAGATGGCATGCTAGCCCTTCGTTTCTTACGAGCAATCTCTTCAGCAAAAGAAACAGTCCCTCCATCTTCGGGCTCTTGAGCAACATAAGAACTGGATAAGGATGAATAAGGGCTGGTAGAGTAATTTCTGATGAAATAGTTTCTTGCTTCCTCCAAATAATTATCGGAAATGAGACTTTCAGGAATGAGTTCAACCTTTATTCGTGGATCAAGAATGGCAGTCATGTATATGAATACATTGCAGACTTGGTCGTTATAGCTCCGGGCATGCGTAGACATTTCTTCAGCAGCACTCTTGAGCCAATCGGGACTATGCCGGGATTCTATGCAGGTTGAAATCATTTCAGAAATGTGATCCATGAAGAAGAGAACCAATCCAATAGTTAGCATTTTGTTGGTGCAAATGTTATTGATGGTCTTGTAAAATGGTTCTAAATACACATGCATGATATTGACAGCATTCTTCTCTGCAGTGCTAAGCAGCAACCTACTGCCGAGCTCTTCATCATACTTCCGAACAACAGTTTCCATTGATTTTACTGCCTGTATCACATAACATAGTCCAATATTACAACTAATTTCCAAATAGAATGTTATTTCCCAATTTTTTACCCTGTATTTTGTTTTTCCTTTCTATGCAGGGTTAGGGTTGTGTTTGTTGGTCATAACAAAGGGAGATTACAGGTTGACACCTAAATAGTTTCACCAAAACACATAAACTTCCCCAAGGCCTTCCACAAATCAACTGGATTTAAACAGTTAAAATACCAACTTCTCTTTGGGGACAAAAACGAGCCAACGGAGAAGCCGGCAATCTGTGATTTTCTTTTCTTTTTAAAAAAAAAAATTATTTTAAAATTATTATTATTATATATATATATATATATATATATATATATATATATATATATATATATATATATATATATTACCTACTATTACCTTAAGCTTACTTGCAAATTGATATAATTGCACAAATTTAAAAAGTTATTGGCTAAATTGCATAAACATGAGTTATGGTGTCTAATTGGAGCTTTTTTGTTTAGTTTAAGGGTTTAATTGCATTTTAGCCTATAGTTGAAGGGCCTATTTAATCCTTATCCCTAAAACTAACAAACAAAAGACAAAAGGGAGAAAAGTATATTAACTTCACAATATTGAACATTTTTAGGGAGGGGAAAACAAGAAATACCTTGCGTGCTATATCAAGCATCTGGTAATTACCACTCCAACGAGTTGAGGCATCGAGAGGGATCTTCCAGTTTCCTTCTTGATAAGCAAGGCAGAAATGAGTGAATTCCTCTGAAACTTCTGAAGACGCATTTGTCAGCAGCACAAATTCCCTAATTTTGGAGAGTATTGACTTTGTACTTTTTAATCCATCAGTAACAATTGAATTCATAGCATGAGCAGCGCATGGAAGATAGCAAAAATGGTTCATTTTCTGGTTATCCATGTCATCTTTAAGTGTACGGCATGCATGATCAGCAGCTGAACTATTATCATGGGTGCAAGAAAGGACTCTGTTCTCAATATTATAGAGCTTAAGGACCTTCACCAGAGCATGATAGATTTCAGGACCCCCACAAGGGCAAGGTATGCGAGAAACATCAAGGAGGACCTTCTGAAACAACCAGTTTTCATCTATCCACTGGCATGTAACATTCATATAAACTATCTCCTCATAAGAAGTCCAGAACTCAAGAGCTATAGAGATCTTAGAAGAAATTTGGTCCAAGATCACCCTAATATCCTCCCGCATACTTCTGAAAATTTCACGAAGTACTGTTTGAAACTTCTCTCCTGACCAAAGTTGTATTAATGGGCTTATAAATTTTAGGGAATTCACCAACCACTTCTCCTCCACAGTACATGGAGGGAGAGATGCTGAGATGAGCCACTTGATAAGCAACCAGTTCAAATGATCAAGCTCCAACTGAGGTGATTTCACTTGAGGCTGAGGTTTCTTAGAAACTGTGACTAGTTCTGGAGTGATATTGCCCACAAAATCCCCTGTTTTATCATATCCTGGGTGGCGATTGGCAAGGTGCCTTCCCAAATTGCCTGAGAGAGAGAGAATACAAGGCATTGACTTCTTATAGAGTAAAACTGTACATTTAGCAAGCATATATACAGATGACCAGTTAAACACAAGAAAGCTCCACTACTTAACAACTGCAAAGTATAAAAAATTCATTTCTTGAATATAAGCTCGAAATCAATGTAAGCCTTAGCACACTTAAAAATGAGCTTTATGCAAAGAGCACAGATTACATAAACTTGTACTTGGAAATTTGGATGAGTGCTTAGTGATGTACATAAAAGCGATGTATTCATTTCATTTGAGAGAGGGAAACAAGATTCATGAGAAATTACCGGTAGCAGTTGCAATAGAATAGCTTTGTCCACAGAATTTACATCTCCGAGTTTTCCCATCTGGAGCTGTCTCAAAATACTTGAGATAAACAGATGTCATTGTCTTTTTCCTTGGTTTTGGAGTGGTATTGGCATTTCCCTTCTCTGAAGATCCCAATCCAATATCCATAGCATCCATGCTTGGAAGGACTGAGGCATCTATTACAGTGATAGATTTGGGTTCAATATCTGCAGGAAGTGAAACATGAAAACAAGAAACTTTAGATTGCTTAGGCAAATGCATCACATACTTGTCCAATGAAAATGTGATCAATTTTCATCTCATCTTGTTTTGAAGTTCAACTTCATGTAGTCAGTAAGGGCTCACGGCTCACCCATTGACCATTAGGCCATGTCTTCAACTTTGGCATACCCTCTTACACAATGCAAGATTCTTATGCACTCTGTTGAACCATGAAGTTTTTTTTTTTCTTTTTCTCTTTTTCTTGGTAAGTAAAGAATTAATTAGAGGCACCAAGGTAGTACAACCCATGTAGAAAATAGCAAAAAAAACCTAGATGATACTGTAACGCCCTCCCTACACAAAACTAAGCCAGAACTCAAAAACCCGATTCTGTTTCTTTGTTCTCATTCTGTACCTGCCATTCCAGCCTTCTTAACTCTCTTTCATGCTCTGAACTTGTCTCCTGCTGATTCCTAATCTCTCTTTGTTAAGCAACCTTTGCCAATTAGCCATTAGATCCTTAGTGCTGTCATTTCCAGGCCAAATTGCAATGCCTAAATGTTCACCAAATTTCTCCAATCTCTTCATTATCATTTTTGGATACAGCAAACTGCTGCATTTGGATCAAATGATTGTATGGGAGAAATCCATATTGGATCTCTATTAAATCCACTTCCGAAATGCTATCCCGTATCATGGTTGCCCATACAATTGCCAGAAGGGTGGTAGCACCCCTTTTCTGGGAGCATCCAGACTCATTAGGATCTGTACAGGTCACTGGAGAAGCAGTCTCTCTCTTCTTTTTTTAATTAATTTAAAGCTGATGCGCCTTTTCCCTTAACTTCTATTGGGTTTCTAGTCCTTTTTTCTTTTTTTTGCAATCTAAAGGACAGACTTAAATCCAAACTTTGTTGTGAAGAAGAAAAGGTGGGATCCATCTAATGTGTTCCATTATCATATAAGGTTTAGTGTACAACCTCATAATGGCAGGCATAATCCATACATTTTTATATCCATTCTATAATTGTAGATCACAGGACCTTTAAAAGAACCAAACTGGTTTTGTTTGGGGTATGGATCATTTATGCAAACCTGCAGAGGAGGCCGAGATTGCTAAATGCATGAGCTTTTAGATGGCCCGGCCTGTAGCAATTTCAATTTCAAAATTAGTAAAGGCATTACTTATATTTGCATTACCTTATCCAAAGGGAACCTGCATACATTCCTATCCCCGTTGATATATGATTTCATGGAGTCAGACTGACATGCTGCCCTCACCTCCCTTTCTTTCCATCAGTAATACCATTTTACCAAACTGTTTCCTTTTCAATCATTAATGAAGCAACTTCAACCCAAATAGGAAACAAGATACTTTCCACTTGGAGCAGACCTCTACAGAAATTGGGAAAAGTTTCTTCCCGACCAGACTCTAAACCCACCAGAGAGCTCTCTTTCCCCTAGCTTAGCAGACCTTCATCAAGTTCTTGCATTTCACCCCTAAAACCTCTTCATTTCTCACCTCATCCACCTGGGAATTCTAATGCTTCTTGGTATCCCTTTCCTTTGAGTTTCAATAACACAAACTCCCGCGTTGATTTGTAACCATTCCCAGTAACACCTCTACAAACTTCCTCCATAATGGTGCCCTCTACCCATTGATTTTAGTTGACACTTTGCTGATCAGACCATTTCTCTCTCTTCCAATTCGTAGACCCTGGTATACCCCTTTCCCCAAGCCTGAAAATCTTACTCGCCATCTTGACCCTTGGAAGATCAGATCAAAACATTTTTTCTCAATCTGAAATGGCCTTCTCAATTTAAGTTCTATCCAAAAGTTCGTAATTCTTAATAAAATGCACTCTAACATTTACTTCAACTAACACTGCTTCAGCAATTGCAGTGAGAGCTCTTGATACTTTAATGTTCATACTTCACAGTTACGATAAAAGCAATATATACAACTATAAGCATGAAAAAATATTGGGTGGTCCATACAAAAGAAAAAGCAATAAATGTTATATAGTGGTACCTTTTATGGATTTGTATGCACTGTTAAAACTCCAAGAATCCATCACATTCCCAACCCCAGCCTTTCCACTCAGTGCTCCTGCCTGTTTTAAGCATATCAATCAAAACACAAACACCAAAGCACATTGTATGGTAAAAACAAAACAATCACATCAAAGCCCCAAAACCGGTTAAATTAGCCTAAAAAGAAAACAAATTGCATATCCATATACAGAGAACAACTACCAATTCCTTGAGCAAATAGTTGCGAGCTTCATGATGCACCTAACTAGGTGCATCATGTCAATAATTTTCAATAATGAACTAATGTTCATATGGTTATATACAATATTATTCACATAGTTATAACAAAAATTTTATCATAGAGTCAGTTTACAAATTATCACCTCAGCATTTTATATTATCAATTAAATGCTATTTCAATAGCCTGTACATTATTCTCCCGGCACACTCAGCTAGGTGTAGGTACATTATTAAAAGCATTACAGCTATTAGCTTAGACTCTCCATAACAGCTACGAAAGTCAAGTGCAGAAAGGAGGAATATAAAACCTGAAAATTCATGAAAGATGCTCCAGTTGTATGCAGCTTCAGTTGCAGAGATCTAAAAATGATTTTTTTAAAACATCAGCTTCGAATTCGAGGGCAAAAAGAGGTCATTTAATTAGGGTTTAAGGTAGGAGTTGAAATGAGAGGAAAAGAAAGATCAGAAACTCTAACTTACAAATTAGAGCCTAGAGCCTCAGAAATTGAATGTTTCCCTTCTGGGCAGCTGCATCAGAGCAGCCATAAGTTCCAATTGGTGGGAGAGAGAAAGAGAATTATTTGTTGGGAGGGAGAGAGAGAAAGAGAGAGTTGTAGAGGGAAGAGTTGCAGAGAAGAGAGTAGGGAGCAAGGAGAGGGAAGAAATGGAGGGAAGGGAAGTAGAAAGGTAGTTATTTGAAGAGAGGGGAGTGAGCTGAGAGCTTGAGATCTGAGTCTGCTTGAGCCAGATAGAATGAAGCCGATCAATTTCATTCACAAATATACAACCAAAATTTAGAGAGTAGAGAGAGAGAGCTGAAGAGATAAAGGAAAGAGAGACCCAACTCAAGTGATGGAGCCGTGACGCCAATCCACTCCGCTTCCCTTTTTTTTTTTTTTTTTTTTTTTTTTATTTGTATTGGTGAGAAAAAGGTTGTTTTTTTATGTTTGGTTTATGGAATTCATTTTTCATGGGAAATGATTGGTTGGATGGAAAAGTTTTTTTTTAAATTGGAGGGAAATGTTGTTTTTTTTTTTAATGTTTGGTTTAAGAAATTGGAAAATGAATTCTTTAAATTTGAGAAAAAAACACATTCCTTGATTCATAGGATTTTGTTTTCAATGGAAGACGGGAAGTAAAAATGATATGATTTAACTATTTTATCCTTACTTTCTTTTTTAATTATATTACTCTTATTAATTTGTAGGGACATATAAGTCTTTATACTCGTTATTCCTTACAATTTTAAATCTAACCAAACAATAATAAAGTTGGTGAGGAATAATGAGTATAAAGAGTAATAAAGAACAATAATAATAATGGTAATTAAAAAAAGTTGGTGAGAGCATAATTATCCTCCTTGTTTTCCATAGAAATTTTTTTTCATGGAAAACAAAATACTAAGGTGTAGCCAAGGAAAATGTTTTCCTCATTGTTGAGGAAAATGTTTTCCAACGGAAAATGTGTTCAATCCAACCAAGCAAAGAAAAATCTAGTTTTCCTCAAAGTTAAGAAAAACATTTTCCTTGTAAAACATTTTCCATCCAACCAAACACCTCATAGTATTTTCCAATAATTTTTTCTATCGACCAAATAATAAAATTCATCTTCTTAGTAATTGCTTTTAAATGAAATTTCAATTTCATTTCCCTTAAAATAGTTTCCGCGAATCAAACGGGCCCTTGAAAATTTCATCTTACCATTATTATGACTGTTCATTATCAATAGTTAGTGCATGGTCCGTGGTCCAAGAATGACTTCGTTTCGTGTATTTTTTTCCACAGGATCTACTGCAACATACATTTTTATAATTCATAAATGTACATTATTGTAAAGCATAATGTATATTATTCTAACTCATAAAAGTACATTATCTTACCCAGAATAATGTACATTATTCTAACACATAAAGTACATTATTCTAACACATAAAGTACATTATTCTAACTGATAAAATTCAACGACGTCGTTTTGGACCGTGGTCCACACAATAATTTGCCTTCATTATTGCGTGGACCGTGCTCCACATATATAATTGTGTGGAACATGATCTAAAAATACATAAAATACATTATTTTAACTCATAAAATACATTATTCTAACTCATAAAATACATTATCTTACCCCATAAATTTCATTATTCTAACACATGAAGTATATTATACATTATTCTAACTCATAAAATACATTGTTATAACACATAAAGTACATTGTTCTAACTCATAAAATATATTATCTTACCACAAAAATTTTATTATTCTAAATTTCTAACATATAGAGTACATTATTCTAACACATAGAGTACATTATTCTAACTCATAGCATACATTATCTTATCCTAGAATCTTCATTATTCTAACACGTACGCGGAGCAATAAATTTTTTTAACATCAAAACGACGTCATTTTGTACCATGGTCCACACAACTGTGTGAACCATAATTTACCTATTATGACGTACTCGGCAAATTTTACTGTGGGCCATGATCCACGTAGCATTGTGGATTAGACAATAATATGATGTCGTCTAAATGGATTTTAGGAAAAAAAAATACAAACGCAATCGTTAATTTTGGCAAATAAAAAATCTCGGTAAAGTCCATGTAATGTCATCTTCGTTGCGATCTTCTACTCGGCTTCTCTCATCCTTGTTCTTCTTCTCAACCTCTGCCATAGTCATTTTGCGATCTTCTACTCCAACATGGATCAAACAACAAATAGAAGCAATCAAATTTCTGCAATTGATGCGAATTCACTAATTGTTATTGATCACAGCTCATTGATTCCATGTTTTTTTATTTGTTTATTGTATTGTTTCTAGGGTTTTACATGTTGAAAGGTGATTATATTATGTTAGGAATATATGTAATTAGATTTTGATGAGGTAAAGTGTATTTAGGATTGATTAGTTGAGATTAATGGAGATATTGTCTATGAACAGAAGAGCCGCAATAGAGTCGAACTTGGGTAGGAAGATCTGTTGTGCGTAACAACAAAATGACATCGCTAAAAGGAAAAATAGAACCCTTAAAGAAATGATTAACGCAATGTTGATCAGTTCTGGAGCACCAGACTCTATGTGGGGGGAAGCTGTTCTAACGGCGAACCACATTTTAAATAGAGTCCCACATAAAGGGTTCGAAAAAACCCCTTATGAGATGTAGAAAGGGCACGCCCCGAACTTGAAACACTTTAAGGTGTGGGGATGCTTGGCTAAGGTGGGTCTACCATCCCTGAAAAGGTCCAACATAGGACCCAAAACCTTTGATGCTATTTTTGTTGGATATGCCGAGAATAGTGCAGCATATAGGTTTATGTGTCTAGAAAACCGTTCTATGTGTGAATCAAGAAATGCAATATTCTTTGAACATATCTTTCCTTTAAAAAATGCTTATGTCTCACCAGTTGATACTCTGTGTCAAAATGATAATGCCAATTTTCCTCGCATTACTAACGATTTGGATGAGCGCAGAAGAAGCAAAAGACCCAGGATAGAGAAGAATTTTGGTTCTGACTTCATAACATATGTCACAGAACTAAAATATTTAAACGAACTGTGTGATCAGTTTGTGTGCCAATTAGTATTGGAAGAAGAACAAAAAACGTTTAAAGAAGCAATGCAGTCAGTCGACTCCATTCTGTGGAAAGAAGCAATCAAAAGTGAATTGGACTCTATTCAGTCCAACCACACCTGGGAGTTGGTAGAACTACCCAAAGGGTGCAAGCCAATTGGCTGCAAATGGATTTTCAAAAGAAAACTTAGACCAGATGGGTCTATTGAAAGGTTCAAAGCCAGGCTAGTAGCCAAGGGCTTTACACAGAGATTCGGTGAGGATTATTTTTACACATACTCACCAGTGACAAAAGTGGGAACCATTCGAGTTCTATTTGCATTGGCTTCTTTACACAATTGGATAGTTCACCAAATGGACGTAAAAACTGCATTCCTCAATGGTGAATTAGAAGAAGAGATCTACATGGAACAACCACCTGGTTGTGTTGATCCAGGGCAAGAAGGAAATGTATGTAAATTAAAAAGATCTCTTTTATGGCCTAAAACAGGCCCCCAAACAGTGGAATGAAAAATTTCACAAGACCTTAATGGACCTAGGCTACATGACTAACCGGTCAGATGCCTGTTTGTACTCAAAAGAGGTCCAATCCAGCATTGTAATAATATGTCTCTATGTGGATGACATGTTGATTTTTAGCTCAAGTATTGAGGCTATAAATGAAACCAAACGAACTCTATGTCAAAAGTTTGAAATGAAGGATCTAGGAGAAGCCGATGTGATACTCGGGATAAAAGTCACAAAAACTAATACAGGTTACCTTCTATCCCAAGGTCACTACACAGAAAAACTTCTGAGGAAGTTTGACAGTTTTGATGTTGTTCCGGCCAAGACTCCTTACGATCCTAGTGTCAAACTAATAAAGAACATGGAGTCAAGTGTGTTTCAAGAGAAATATGCAAAAGTAATTGGGAGTCTAATGTTCTTGATGAACTATACCCGACCCGACATTGCATTTGCCGTAAATAAACTTAGTCGTTTCACTCATAACCCTAGTGGTCCACACTGGGACGCACTAAAAAGGATACTCCGGTATCTTAGAGGCACGTTAGACTGGGGTCTCAACTTCAAAGGATACCCAGCTGTGCTAGAAGGGTTCTGTGATGCGAACTGGGTAAACGACATTGATGATGTCAGCTCTACAAGTGGATATGTGTTCACACTATGTGGAGCTGCAGTGT